ACGTTAGTTACGTATAGTTACGTACGTACACTACGTACCGTAAACTTAAACGTTAACTTACTACACACACAGATATATATATATATATATATATATATATATATATATATATACACGGGTGGGGGAAAACAATGCTTATACATTTCAACACAAACATTATATAATATGTGGAGATAGCTAGGTGAAAGCACATTCCTAAACATCAGTTCAACAAATTTTTGGTATATTCTGTTTGATATTTACATTTTTCCAACATATATAAAAATACACTAATTTCTAATTTTCGATTCATAATTCTGGATTTGTTTTTGTCAAGTACAAACTTGCCAGGCCATCTTCCACAGATGCACAAACTGAAAGAAACATAGTCCTAGTACTAGTCAACCGGCTTCTGGAACCCAAAATAGGTCAAGTAACAAAGATCAGACTAGAACCAATAAAACCTATTAATATCTTAAAATGACACGTGTGTGTGTGTGTATGTATATATATATTATTACTGTACTAATGCCATATTTATTGGTATGTAACTGACTGTACAAACTGGGGAGTCAATTGAGTCATGTGTTCCAACTGTGACAGTGTGCCTACATATCAGTCAGTTCCTAGCTATGCCCTTGCAATATGCCAAGACATTAGGAAATCTATTCAACTGATGATTTGAATCCTGTTCTTTCAAATTACATTAGTATTTTGAGGTCAGTGCTCTTACACATGAGTTACAGGGCACTAAGTCTGGAGCAGATGACTTTTCATCGTGACAGTTAAAACTAAGGTGTGTAAAAGAAGCAAAAGGACAGGTTTCTATGTAAGATTGGGATTATGCTCCAAAAAATTCTAAATCACCAGTTTAATCACAGAATCTTTTAATTTAATATAGCATTGTCATTATATGGTTAACTTACTCAGCAAAGAGTCACAATCGAACATTTTCCATTTTTGATTTCTCATTCACAGGTCCTTACTTACTGAAACATAATGAATCCTGATCATTATGCTGGAACTGAAAAGCTGTGGCTTACATATTCAGTTATTGAGTGCATCTGGATTTATTTATGAGCAAACCAGAAAACAGGTGGTTTCATTTCTTAAGCAAAATTCAACAACAACAAAAAAACCTTACTGGAAATGTGAAACAACAATCTATAGAAGAGAATGACTGTCTTCAGATGGCCATAGCAATGATGACAACATACCTTATTTACAATGTCTCAAGAAGTCACTCCAAGCATGCCATCTGAGATCATCCCAACACACCATTTTTATTCCAGTTCAAGTTTTCATAAATGCACTTGGTAGTTCAAGAATTTATGCAAATCATCTTATAATTGACTTGTTTATGATCAGCTAGCACAACAAAGAATTAATATTAAAAGGTCTGAAATAACACATCTCCTTGCAGATCTCAGGAAAGTTACTCTAAGTAAAGAAGGTCTGAAATAACACAGCTCCTTGCAGATCTCAGGAAAGTTACTCTAAGTAAAGAAGGTCTGAAATAACACAGCTCCTTGCAGATC